ACACGCATCATCAATTCTTTTCTCTCTTTGTACTCTTCCTCCTCACCGCTTTGAAATTATCTTCAGGAGTAAAGAAACCATTTATACTAACCACAAAAAGGCTTTTTTTCATTCTAGGACATGAGATTAATGGCTAACTACATATTCTAAGTGGGGAAAAAGTTCAGAAGTAAGATCCCTAAGAAAATATTTCCTTTTAGGTTGGTCTGTGTGCTGCACATTCATGGATATTTCAGTGGAAGAGCACCAACTGAAGCAAGTCTAAAACAAATTTCAAGCCCAAAATGGAAGTGACAACAGTCATTTAAATCTATTTCTCACTGAACTGAATTCCATTCATAGATTACAGACTTTTCCCCTTCCTCAATAAATAGAAATAAAACCCAAACAAACAAAAACCAACCAAACAAACAAATAAACAAACAGTAGCTCTATTCCCAAAGTGGTAAAGATCAGGGACTCAATCTTGTTTCACATCCTCTGCTAAAAGCAATCTAGACTTTTTTTTGTGATGAAGGACACATGTACCGTGACACAGTGCAGTTCAGCCCTCAGAATTGCAGAAACCACCAAAACCATAAAGTTAATTTCTTACACTCTCAGCAGGAGGGAGAGGAGGTTGACACATACGAATAAGAAATTACTTTGGCAGGTGCAGGGCAACAGCAAGTGGATTGGAGAAAAGCCCTGTGCAGCTCCAGGACTTTCATGACATTGTTATATTAATTAAAACACAATCAGTAGGCAATGCAAACAAAACAGAATCCTATGATGTGAGAATCTTAATATAAAACCTGTACAGGTATATATCATGTACCTTTGCTTTCCTTTTTGTCAATCCATTTTGCTATGAAAAGGTAAAAATGTTCCAGTAGTTAACTCTTAAGCTACACATACTCTAAATCTCCACTCTTAGGGTGCCTACAGTTCAGCTAGTCCCAGACCATCCTTTTTTTTTGTCCACCATGTGAAAACAGATTTTAAACAGACATAGTCTTCTAGACCTCTGCTGTACCAGTTATGAGTAAGCAGACCAATTTCTTTTGCTAATTTAGTAACACCATGCTATGGCAAGTAGAGAGAGGTACAAGGCAGTAGTTGGTTTTCCTTAAAGCCTTTTCAAAACCAGAAGATGCAATATTGTTTGGTTTAAAAAACAAAACCAAAAACCACATAGGAACCTTTTCCTTTCCACAGCAGGCTGTCTTCTCTCTCCCCCACAACCAATGTCATTCCTTCCGAGCGGAGCTGACTCTCTGCATACCAATAGGTATTTTGTCTCAGAAGGCTGTGCTGGGAATTGAAATTTTCCCAGATGGAGGGGATCTGAGAGCAGCTGTGGCCAGTGTTAAAAGACACTGAGCAACAGGACAGTGACGTGCTTCACATATAATGTACAAAGCTTGACCCCTGTCCTCAGTAAAACAAGATGTGGGCAGGGGAAGAATTACATAAATGCAAAGAAAATTACAATCTGCAAAAGCATGTTCTAGCAGTCAAAAATAAGAGATATTACATGTATTGTTCTCCTGTTACACTCTTCAAAAAGACTATCATGGCTGCGTACATCCCAGAAGCTACAAGTCCTGAATAACAACCATACAGATTATTGTTCTTCAGAAAATTGTTTACAGATTACAAACAGCCCCTTCGCACTCTTGATTACTTATCTGTTGTTACTAAGAGTTCATGTAAGCTTCTATATGGATTTCCAGAAGCCATTTGCTACATCTACATTAATCCTTAAAAATTCAAGCAGATTTTTTTTTTAAAAGCAGACTAGTAACAGAATTGTTTTACGCATACTTAGTCCTAAGAGAATAATTATGACAGCGATTTCCCAGGATTACATTGCCTCAGTGAATGGTCAGCCCACAGGGTACCTCAGGCTCTGACGACCTCCTACTTTCTATGCCCTTGTCCTTTAAGTAGCACAGAAACAGTTCTACTAGAAAAGAAGGCAGATTTAACTCAAAGTGGTTACCACACTGCCACCGACAATGACTTTAATGTGGCAAGTATCTTATTGGTGTATTAGTTTGGTACGAAACTAAATCAGTGACATAATTATCCTCTATTTTATCAGCAGAGTAATAGGACACAGAGAGCAGAGATGAACTGCAATTAAGATGGGTCTTGAATGTTACTTGAGAGTTGCTTTTAGTAAGAAGTCCAGATTGTGAAAGTTTGTTCCGTTTAGATTTCTTCTATAACTAGAAGAACGATAATTTCTCCCTGAAAAAGAGGGGTTTTGAGACAGACCATTCACTCCTACACATCACAGAATCACAAAATGCTCGGCATTGGAAGGGACCTCTGGAGATCATCTAGCCCAACCTCCCTGCCAAAGCAGGTTCACCTACAGCAAGTCGCACAGTATCGCGTCCAGGTGGGTTTTGAATATCTCCAGAGAAGGAGACTCCACAGCCTCTCTGGGCAGCCTGTGCCAGTGCTCTGCCACCATCAAAGTACAGAAGTTCTTCCTCATATTCAGATGGAACTTCCCGAGTTTCAGTTTGTGCCCATTGCCTCTTAACCTGTCACTGGGCACCACTGAAAAGAGTCTGGCCCCATCCTCTTGACACCCGCCCTTAAGGTATTTATAAGCATTGATGAGATCATATAAGTATTGATCAGCTGAAAGTATTTTCATTTTTCTTCAAGAACAACAAGAACTAAACAAAACCCTGTTTATCACTCAAAGATCTGTCTAGTTATGTAGAGAGTTTGTATTACTTGTAAAGCAAGTTGAGAGACTCGGGATTTGGATTTGCATTCATCCTTCCTGGACTAGGCAAATACTTCCTGCTAATCCCCATCAAGTAAATAAAGTTCAGTTCAAGGACCAAGTTTCCGACAACCAGAAAAGGTGAACTCATCACTTGCCTCCCAGGAATCCGAGATTCCACTGGAATCCATGGAGCCGAAAAACAAGGATAAGTGGGTGCCTGTGTGTGTATACAAATACGTACACACAGGTGAATATACACACATACTTATACATGGATATAGATAACGCATACCAAAAAAAGCACTCAGAAACAGTTGTTTCTTATATTCCACATTCTTCTGTAGAATAACCTCTGGTCCTGGGAGCTTCTTCAGATCAAGGTCCTCCATGAGCAGAACTAAGTTTTCCTTCTCTCCTGTCACCATATCAGGGGCATTCCTAAATTAGAGTGGGTGAATCCATGCCAATCTGGCTGATGGCATCTTTTGACAAATACACGGATTCCCAGTAAAAGAACTCTCCCTACTCTTAAATCACAGAGTTGCAAAAACAAACAATATCTATGCAGCATACTTGCTGATGAGTCACAAGAGCAATTTTGAATTTGCCATGAAGTGGTGCACAGGCACATATATGCTTGTCCTACCCCTTCAGGCTCCTGAGACATGATTTTCTCCAGCAACAAAATGCAGAAGACAGGAAATGTGTCCACTGCACCACTTTTATCTAAAGCTTCCTACAGCATCAGCTCCTGGGGTTTCAACAACAAGCTCTGTACACTATTCCATTACAACAACTGCATTTCAGGATAAGGGAGGGAAAAGCACTTAAGACGAAGGAACAGCTATACTTGATTGGCCCCAAAATCCACCTTGCCCATCATCCTGTCTCCAACACTGGATGCGAAATGAACACCAATGCAGCCACAAAGCGCAGTATTTTCCAAGCAGCTGCTGCCTCTGGCTGAGGAACACTGGGAGCCAGAACAAACACCTTTGTACTGGGTGGTGGCGCAGCCACTTGTCCAAGGTTATCCAGTTGCTTTTTAACCACACAGACCCACTGCAACTGGGCATTATGGATGTCACACACTTGCAGTTTCACCATTTATCGTGTGAAGAGCACTTCTCCCCAGCCTGAACTACAACTTGCTGACTGCATTTGAAGCCTGTCTGTGGATGGAGAACAACCATGCCTTGTCTCTCCCAGCCACAAGCCCTTTCTGCACCATTTGGAATCCTGGAGATGCCTGTGATGGCTCTCCTCAGTAGGCTCTTGTCCAGCCTGTAACCTACGCTGTGGATTTCTGTAGGGAGACTACTGTACAGCTTTGGTTATCACCCTTGTTCTCCTCTGCGTGCCCTTCCCAGCACTCCAAAACTCCACTGGTGACCTCCCCACAGTACAACTAACCCAGTTTATTTCTAAGCCATTTGTAACTTCTGCCTTCTCATTCTCCCCCAGGATAACACCATCTTGCCACATGGCTGCATAATTTCTCTGCAAGCCATGTGTGTGTAGCCTTCTACAATTCCAGGTGTGAAGGCATTCATTAGTCTCCCCCATCCTTGTCCCTGACTCAGAAGGAAACTCCAAGAGACTTCAGAAGCAAGATTTCCTTTTGCAGAAGGCACTCTGACTCTTCCCCAGACTATCACATTCACCCCCACATCCAACAGCAGTTCTGGTTTTGTAAAATACTTCCCACCACTTTTCCTGGCACAGGTGCCAGATTTAATGAATGACAGCTGCTACATGTCCTCTAGACTCAAAACCACCATCACAATAAGAAAGGTAGATTGTGTGGTGCCAGCTACATTTGCCTGGTACCACAGTAACCTGAAAAAGAAAGGTTGCACACCATGCTTGGCAGAAGCAACATTTCATCCACTGAGCTTCCTTGAAACTCCTGGGTGAGCGCTCCTGTCACCAGCTCTTGACACCCACCCATCCGGCCAGCCTGTGCTGTAAACTCCATGGCCAGCACTTCCACTTCCAGCGACTTTTAATAATTCTGGCTAAAGGAAAACCTACTTATGAAAAGAAAGCATAAAATATATTTCCCTTGTAAAAAAGACTATAAAGTAAATTACGCAAATACTCAGTTCTGTTGTCCTTTTTTTAACTTTTTTTTTTATTTCCACTCACGCATGTGCTTTCACTCCTTGCAGGACAGAACTGGAATGCAAAAAGATGCCAACACAGAATGACGGGTTTCACCAACAGGTAGACTGGAGTACCTTCCCAGAGGATAGTAAATGTAAACAGTTCACACAGTACTCAGTAGCAACACCCACTATTAGAAGGCAGAAGTGACAAGAAGATTGATTACTCACTCAAACGCTGAGTATCCTGGGGTATCTTTTTAATAAATATATACATTAAAAAAAAGAAATACACAAACTATACCTCACCTTTTTTAAAGTACATGCAAAGCCTGAACCCAAAGAGAAGAGAGAAATTATCAAAGAAATATGTTTGTCTCAAAAGAGGTAAAAAGTAGTTTATTTTTTCTTTGAAGACCTTCGATAAAAATTACTTCAAAATAAATTAAAAATATTTGCCACTGATGTGCATATTAATGAAACAATTCCACCTTTCATTTTTATTCAATTTTTCTTCCTCTAAGTCCTTCAAAGATTATTCTGCTGATACTTTGCTCATGCACTGCAAATTTCAGGTGCCGAACTGTCACTTAATGGAGAACTCTTTACCTGAAGAGCACCTATTACCATCATCAGTTCTGTCTGTTCAGTCTGCTGAAAATAATAGTCCTGGAAAGCTGATCTATCAACTTCAGTCTAGAGACTCCAGAGAAGCAATAAACCCAGAATCAATACTCTAAGGTAAATACTTCTGGCAACAGCGAGAAAAGTGATATTGATGACTAACAGCCACATCCAAGGCAGTATCAGCAACATGAGGAAAATAAACAGTTTGTAAGGTACTACAGAGCAGTAATGGTACACACTGCTATTTAAGTAGGTATGGTCACATTCTTCACAAAGGACTTCCATCCCTCTGGCAATGCTGCACTCTCAGAAGCACCACCACGAAAGGCTAGTCTAACCTTCTAATGTCTCCCAGCGCTACTGGGTTTTGGAAGCAGGAGGCCAAGGTATCACAAAATTTATAATGCATTTAGAAATAAATCTCAATCATTTATGCCTACAAATATACATAAATATATTTGGGAATACAAATATATCTGTGGTCATCTTCTTCTTCTCCTTAAGTTTTAAAACACTAGTACACAGGAAAGAAAGCCAGAGGCCAACCCAAGGTTGGTAACAATGATTTACAGAGGGGGTAGAGGTTTCATTCAGAAGTGCTGTTACTTGCAGCTTCTAATACTTCACGTATTATACAATGAATGCTATAATGTGCACTCAGTGTCCATTTTCTAAATATTATACAATGATACATGAATTAAATGTTTTGCCACAGCAACACTGACAGTGTGCCCATCAGCTGAAACATTTCAGCAACCTTGTTCTGTTGCAGAGAGTTTCTTGGTAAACCACAGTCTCACAGAAAACTGTGGCTAGAAAAGACCCTACCTTCTCTTCCTGATGTACTCTGTTAGCATTTTCCATCTGAAAGCTGTGCAAGGACCGGATTTTGTCGATCTGCTGTCGCTGCTTCTCTAGTTCTCCTTGGAATTCATTCTTTTTGAGTTCCACAGCACCCCTCTCCGCTGCCGCCCTGCGGACTTTGCCTTCCAGATCCATGATCCGACCCTGAGGAAGAGCAAATTAGCCCAATCAAATAGAAATGTTTCCCCCTTGCCACACTCTTCTCCAGTATATTCAAGGAATACCAAATTTCACAGAACTAACAATGCTAATGTCATTCAAGTACTGTGTCAGCTGGGGATACCTGACACACACATTCACACAAAGACACATAAACCCCCCAGTTTTACGTAAATTAACAGTAGAGCCTATTCCATAGATGCTATCAAAATTTCCATTAAAGACAAGAGAAATGCAAAGCTTCCTTAGTACTTGAGCTTAAAAAAAACCCTGAAACAACTCCCCCCCCAAAAAAAAAAAAAAAAAATTGCAGTCTACTGCAGTCTGCAATCTTTCTGAAGTCCAAGGTCAAATAATTTTTTTAAAATTTAATTCAGACAATTCTGACATTGCTGCACTTCCCAGTGTTGATACTAAACTAACTCAGAGGGAAAACTCATCTCTCAAATCAACATGTTTTCCTGGAAAACTTGAGAAAGAGTAGAAGGACAACAACACTGCCCAACTTCTACATAAACAACTGACATACGGCTGTTACACAAAGACACATATGAGGAAAATTCATTTATAAGCAGAAAATCATTGTTCTCGATTGCTCAAAGAGCAGTGACAATCAGAGGAAAATTCAACACCATTACATGCTGTACATACAAACACAAAGATATAGGGTAAGGAATCAAACCTGATGCTCTCACAACTTTTTTTTTTTTTTAAAGTACTCATTTAGCTTTGCAGGATGTTGTTTCTAAACATTTTGGGTTAAAATCGCTTTTCGGTAGCAAGGAAGAGTACAAAAGCATGTGGGGTTGGGCATATCAACAGAATTTACCCAGGCAGAAAGACCTGGGGATTCCAGGTGGATTAAAAAATAGATATAATAACAACTGTGTGTATTCCAAGACTCCAAGAAAACAGATCAAATCTTCTTACACCACAGTATGCTGCATATTACTGCCCACCTACTCTGCTGCTCTGCCACAGAAAGTGAGAGAAAGGAGGGGAGGCAGGGGGAGAGAAAGACTTCCTGGAAGAGCAAAGGAAAGCACTTACTCCATTTCAGTCATAACAGCTACAAAGTCTTGCCAACAAACGAATGGGTTGACAGGGTGCTTTAGAAGCTCCATCCGCACCTTCAGCTATGCTTTTATTTCATTCAAAGCGCATGACTATGCAGAAGTGAAATAATTTCTCAAGCTAACTTTGGGAGAAACATACAAGATAATACAGCAAATCAATAACACTAAAGAGGACCTTATGTCTCTAGGTTATTGAGATCAAGAACAAGCTAGTATGCTAGCTTATTTTCCTCACTATCAGCTGCCTCACGGTCATGCATTAAAGCTTCAGCAGTACTGACACAGTTACTGCCTGCTGGTAGCCACCATCCCGAGCCACTGACTACAAGGAAAACAGAGGATCACAAGAGCCGCAGAAGACAGGGCGTATCATACCCTCCACCAAAGGAAAGCTAAGACATACCCTTAACTGCATGGCCAGAGACACGTGTCCTGTTTGCATAGTGCCCACTCTGAGCTGAAACAGGAGTGCAACTGTCAACTCAATACTAAAACTGGCTTAACTACAAAGAGGATACAAATTCAGTGGAAAAAACTGGGAGGAGCTCTCATCAGCCTTGTTTAATCATTGGGTTGTTAGTTTTTAGGTTTGCTTGTTAAAAACAAAAAAAAAAAAAAAAAAGAAAAAAAAGAACCATCCTGCACACATTGTCACAAACCAGCAAGTTTATTCATGTGTTCCTCAACTTCAGAACGTGCACTCCAGAACAGATCAAAATCCAAGCTCAACAGTCACTAAGTTACCCTTAGAAAAATAGCAGACAAGGTAATTATTCCACGAGTCGCGTGCCCTTTTTAGGAAAGGTTTCTAAGAAAAACAAATTCAGATTTTTAGACATTGTTTCTGAACAAGCTGGATTGCCTTGGTGGGAACGTATGCGTACATTCTTATGCTTCATGTAAGAAAAAAAATCCAGGGAGATGAGCAGATTGCTGATGCCCATTCAAATTAAAAATGGAGTACCAGTCTCAATGTACAGATTGGAAGAAAAGCAGAGCATGGTATTTGCCACATCTGTAAACTGAAATGGCACAAAATAGCCAAATGCTTTGTATGAGCAGAAATAAGTACCATACATGCAGGTCTTCAAGTTTTGGGTCCTCCTCACATACAAACAGGCATTCCTCCCATTTGCCGTATCTCCTACTACTGATAAGCAACAACTGTAATGTTTGTGAAAATTCCTACAACATACCGAAGCTCCTGGCCCACCACATGCAGGGGAAGCATCCTTCTTGTGGACTATGTTTATTAGCCACACAAGTACAAGATGGCATGCAGAGCAATAGGAAAGTTACCTGCAGATCCACGCTGCGAGAACTTGCAATCCAGTAATTGAAACCCAAAACAATGATGCACGCCACAAGCGCAGCCACGACGAGAGGTGGAGACTTCATCCCTCGGCAGCTGTTTCCCAGCCCTACCATTTCAAGAAAAAAAAACAAAACAAAACAAAACAACAAACAAACCCAAAGAACTACAACAGTGTGGAAACCTGCAAATTAAAACAGACACATTATATATCACATCCTCTGCTACGGCTATTTTACGCACACAATGAAACTTTTACTGCAACAACACAACAGCTCTCAGCTGAAGAGGCTACGCACAGCATGGAAGGCACACTGCCTGGGTATTTCCATCTGAAGGACAAAGAAAGGCCATCGCATACTATTAGCTTTTACATAAAGCTTCGCATGGACTTGAGGGGGAAGTCTTGAATACTCCTAACGATATAATGAAAATCTGCAATGAACAGAACAAACCATTCATCCTTTTATCATATATTCCACCCAAAAAGCTCAGTAGACAACACTGGTCTACAGATAGAGGATAGAGTCCTTGTTATCTCATTTAGTCAGAAAATCAACTTAGTCTCGCTGCTTCAGGAGTAATTTGCACTTTGCTTCCCAAACTTAGGTAGTTTCAACTTATTCCCTCTGATAATACTATTTTAACTTTTTGGTTCCAAGCCTGTAAATAAATAAATAAATAAATCAGATTGAACCAAATTACTTTAGGGATAATCTAAAAAATACATTTAAAAAAAAATTAGCAGACAATCCATTGATTTCAGTGGCAAATGATACTAAGTGATGTTTGCTTCGATCCTCAGCTGCTTTCTCTGCTCCTAAGAGAAAATAAATAAACTGGCTTTAAGAAATGGGTACTACCAGTTGCTATTGAGACTTGGGTTGTTTCTGTGGAATAGCCCATCTTAGCAGAAAAGCGGGGGCAAAAAGCAGCTGCAATTCTGTTTGAAATAGGCCATATTCATCCTATGATATGATAAAATCTGGTCTTAACGAGTGTAATAGCACCTAGCTCAATGAATCCTCAAACTCCACAGGGAATCCTGTCCACAACTTGTAATGGATTGCTCTCTGGTAAACTGAGGTCAACTTTTTTTCTTTTTGCACTCCTGCAGACAAAAGCCAGCAGAAATGAGCACAGAATATCAAACAGATAGCAAACACAGATGCATCATAAGACACTAACTAAATCTGAAATGGGTATATTTATTATTAATATATTGAACAGTCTCTCAAGGTGCACACTCTTAAATAAACCAACTTCCCTACAGATGCAATTCACAGGTTGTGACGTATTTAAAAAATCGATGAAGAGTGGTAACTTTCAAAGGCTTTACATGTGGACGTACACTGTCATCACAGGCAAAGAACGTGATGCAAGCTGTTAGCAGGTACCAGAAATACTGATTCTACTGTCTGTCCCGCACTAAAGTCCTTCAACAGCTCACCTGTACCTAAGTGTGCACATGCACCCCCTGCAAAATCCCCTCTTTGCATTCAATTTAAGATACAGCCCGTCTTACTCTTTTCTCAAAGCGCACAATACTGCCAGACTGGTGAAGTTTTTAAACCTACATGTTCCTGATAATAAGGGAACTAGAGAGTTAATCTTAGAAACACAAGCCTGTTACAATGGTATGTAGTAGTGTGTAATTTTGTACCAGTGCATGACCACATCTGGCATAAAAGTGATAACAAGACCCTTAAATCAAGGACGTTGCGCTCATTATCAGGGACTGCACTTCAAGGCAGGAACTCTTAAATCATTACCAAAGACCTTGTTAGGAGAACAGGACCTGAGACTGCTGTCAATCAAGAAAAAGGAAGATGAGAGCTAAAAGTTCAGCAAAAGGATATGGTGATGAAGAAGAGTGGAAGTAAAAGACCACCAGATGTCTCTGAAGACCCCCAAAAGGACTAAAATGGACATATGGAAATGGGAGTTACCTATGATAATGAGTTCTGGGAAAATTGTTAATATGTTAATCATCTCTTGGAAGTCTTATGAATATGTATAAAAACTAAAAATATAAGCCTGTAACTAACACAAGCACGGTATGCACGCTAGGTGGAAGGATCCCCCGTGCATCCAGCACTGCTAATAAAGAATACTGAATCACTGCTAAATTTGATGTTTAATTTCTCGGAATCATTCCTTTGAAAAGTTTGTGAATTTTTTTCTATTTGGAGATGGGGTATATATGGAGCCTAAGAGTAAAACGTGGCTTCCTGAAAACGCTGCCTCTTCGTACACACGCACAAAAAAACCCAACCCCAAAACAAACAAACAAAAAAATGTGCACAGTCGCACAGGTCCAACATCCCAAGGCCTGAGTTTCTTGCCTAAGGAAATCTCAGCTACGGAGCAGACTGACTCACTTGAACTGGAATTTAACTACGAGATAAATAAATAGGACTAGCTGTTTAGCTCAAAATTTTTCCACAGGCAAAGCAACTATATGTCCAAAGGAAGAACAATTAGTTCACCGTGCAACTTAAAGCTCAGGCACAAAACCATGTTAAAGGAATGTCAATACACCTACCAAGTAAACAAATCCAGCAGCCTCAGCGACTCTTCTGCTGTTTTCAGCTATTAAAAACAAGCAGGCAAGAAAGCATTGGTTTCACTAAAACATGTTTGACTTCTACTACATTGTTCTCTAGAAAATCCAGTGTTGCTCGCCCTTGAATAATTTATGTTAATTGGGAATATATTTTTATACTCAACAGAAGGAAAGGTAAAAGGAAGAGGGAAGAGATGAAACACACAGAAGGATCTTCCATCTAAATAGCGCAGACCCAAAACATTACCTCAGTTGCAATATCGATATTCCCTCTCTCACCAGTTTAAAAATAAAAACTGTTTAACTTTCTATCATGGATAAACACACACATGTGTTTCGGAGGACAGATAAGCAAATCAGTTCAGTAACAGTACATTTACATGGAAATGTATTTGTACATGCTGTTTTCCAGGAAACATCTGGTTTGGCACAGTATTTGAGTTGAAAATAAAATACGCTTCAGATTTTACAGGTAAGAAGTGATTTTACTGATCATGAAGGAATCCATCATTCATGAATGTTTACTACAAATGTGAAAATGAGATGCTGTATCACATGCATAATACTCTACATTTGGTACAGTATAAAATTCCTGACTTCTGAACAGCAGATTTCATCCTGCTGCTTTGCCAGCCTGGCAGTGCTTCATCGAGAGGGAGGTGTTTCAGAGTCTGAGATATTCAAGCAAATTAACATATAGCATACTTTTGTTTCTTGTATTAATATACTAACAGTCTGAGTAATTCCTTCTTTTACCATACTCAGCTGAAGCAGGATAGCTGGTATCCAGCAATCTTCCACTACAGATACTTAACAACCATGCCGACTAAGTCTCAAGACTAAGACATTAGAGGCAAAGACAGAGCAAAACAATTTGTGTATTTCAGATTCCCAGAAAGAAAGCAAGTCTGTCTGCTCACCAGGTCCAGCTCTGTGTATTTGCACGAGACCTGCCGAGCAGGAACAAGCAGAACAGATGAAGAATTCAATAAAAGCAGCGTACAGCCAGCGAGGGGAAACAAAAGGGGTCCTTCATCCCCCACCTGCTTACCTGCCTCCCGACTGCCTCCACCACCACTCAGGCACCACATGGTACAAAGCCACCATAAGCTGGAGCAGCACGTGAAGACGGTCTCATGTGCAGCTGGAGCAGCCACCAAAAAGTGAAGACACATCTTACTTGAAGGTCTGCACCTCTGAGTACGGACAGAGCCTTAGGAAGACTCCTTTGCAAAGGAAGAGCCATAACCAGAGGCAAAAAGGAGGAAAAAAAATTACCAGGACCTAAGGACTACCAGGCAGCACTGAAACACACAACCCCATCACAACCAGACTGGCCAACAGGCGACTGCTCTGCCCAGGCTGGTGAAACCTCCTCCCATCGAGGGGACCCTGCAGATAGACAATGGTGCTATCCCCACCTTTTGCAGATTCCTCCCCAATTTCTCATTGAAATTCCGGAAGAAATTACTTGGTTTTTTCACATATTACCAGGAAATTCCTATGTCTGACTGCTTGAATAAAAATATACCAGTTTAACCAAGCAACCTAATCAAAACTTCTTCCACTGACAAGAGTTAGTTATGCCCAGACATGACTAAATCAGATTAAAAGGTATTAGAAAATGGTTTTTTTTAAAAAAAATAAACAAAACTTTTAAAACAGTAATTCTTAAAAAAGTGAGTCACAGAGAAAACATTTGTACACCCAGTCTTCCAAAAAAATGTATTGGTTTGGGGTCAAGTGGAAGTGGAGAGGTGACAAAAATGAGTCACAACCTTTCATTTCTAGTTTTATATATGGTTAACATACAGTAGTGATCATCCTTGAAAAAGAAACCCAATTGTTGGTTCTCACTCGTGGCTGGATGTCACCCACAAGTTCCACCATTTGCAGTCACATGGAAAGTACCAGTTACAGCCAGCAGCAACCTCTACGCTTTCCAGGGTGCCCTGACAGGGGGTCAGAACCTGGGTCTCCTACACTGTCACAAAACACGGCACACAGATTTCTTATCATCCTCTGCAGCAACAGTGGAGGTGTTTCTTTTCAAGTCTGCAAGTCAAAAGAGGTGAAACAAACATTTTTCCAGTGGAGATTTAAAGTTTGTACAATGAACTCAAGCCTGCTGACCACAAACTTTCTAAATACCTTTCACAGCTATCCACAAACTGCAGAGTGAAAGAAAAAAAAAAAAAACGACAAAAAAGTCCTGAAACATCCAGCAACAGCCACTTTTCAAACTTCTGTACTTTGGACGACTGACTCACTTCAAAGCGGCAACCACCCGGAATAAAATAAATTTACGAACACAGATGCTGCAGGATGTCACTGAGTCACTATTTACCCAAATTATCAATTCACAGTTTTCACAGGAAGAGGAGAAGCATTTACGGCAGAACACATTTCAGCAATGTCTCAGGAATATCCATCATTTGATACTCAATTCAGATCTTAGGTCTTCCTTTTCTAACGCATTACGAGAAGTAACAGATCAGAAGAGTATGAAAATACTGAAAAAGCATTAACTGTTCAGGGGGAGGGTGACTG